AACCTTTCCCAAGTCTCGTGGAGTTGTTCTCCATCAACTTGAGAAAAGCTTAGAATGGAACGCCTCATTTGGTTGGTTTTACTCACCGGATAATACTTCTTAAGAAATTCTTGTTGCAATTGAGCCCAAGAAGTAATAGAGTTGGGAGCGAGGGAGTTCAACCAATATTTTGCCCTATCCTTTAGGGAGAATGGGAAAAGATGGAGATGAAGTGCATTATTCGGAAAACCTCTCAACCGGATGGTCGAACAGATTTCAAGGAACTCATCAAGATGCTTATATGGATCTTCATTATCAAAGCCATGAAATGATGGAAGCATTTGAATGGTACTAGACTTGATCTCATATTGAGCTGCATCGATGTTTGGCATCACTATGCAAGATGGAAAAGCATAGGTGGTAGGGATGAAATGATCTCTAAGAGTCATTGGCTCGATATTAGGAATTTCAGCCCTTTCATTCCCCGGATTTCCTACGTTATCCCCCATTATATTGAATTCAGTTCCAAGGTCCCTTATAAGAGTGGGTTCCCTAAGGTTCCGTCTAAGAGTTCTTTCAAGAGAGTTAATATCAATGGGAGAATCGATTGTGGGTAAGGAAAGTGACCTACGACCGAACATCAACAACAAAGCATATACTCAACAAAGCAATTCATCAACCACAACTCCACATACGATGTTCCCTTTCTCCTCAATTATCAAGACAGAAAATGTAAATGGCCACGATAAGGACCGATGCTTGAACACAAAATATAAACAAGTTAAGAGCCTCGACAAGGGCTTCACAACTAAATTAAACACATACACAATATTCACAATGCGAAACTAGAAGTCAAGAGACTTACCTGGGGTCCTCTAGACTTACAATTTGCTAGCAATCCCACGGCGAGCTCCGAGTCCCTAGAATCTTACAACACAAAGATGATCAAAACACACAAGGAATATTCACAAGACATAATATTCACAATCAAACTAAAATTAACCCTAAACTTTGGTTGCTAAACTGTTTGCAGTCCCCGGCAACGGCGCCAAAAATTGATCGGTTGATCAACTAAACATCAACCTTCGCAATAGCACGAATCATTGTAAAATAGGGCTATTGGTCGGGTAAGTCGAACCACTGGGACTGCGCTAGTCTATGGCAACCTAAGAGTCTAGAATTGTTCTTAGAATGATAAGGGGTAATAAGGGTTTGTTTGATTGGTTTGTCACTAAGCTAGTGATTGAAGTGCATAAAACAATAAATTGCAAGGAAATTAAAGGAGTGAGATACAAGTAGAAAATACTAGGGAGGTGAATCCACACTACACCCTAAGTACATGCTAGATTACGGCTAAACTGGGGAAGTACAATGTATAAAATGGTCACGGAATATATAGCAACACTAGATTACCATATACCCTTAGAGAAGTTCATTAAATCATTAAACAAGAATAATCCCTCAAAAATTAATACATTTGAGCTACCTAAACTAAAGTGTAGCCTTCAACATACTCACTCAAGCAAGAACTATCAAGTTTGTAATCAAATGATGAAGCACATGAAAGTAAGAATCAAGCATAGTCCATCAAATGAGGTACCTAAGCAATGGAATATCAAGTTTCAAAATTAACATGCCTTGAAAACCATTCATAGTTAATATCTTCATTGTCACTATGAAAATAAAAGCAATAAGACTAATGTAAGAATCATCAAGACAAGCTAAATAACTCACATCAATCATTTAAACATGAATGTTCATTACAAGAAGTAATAAGCTCTTAAACTATGAAAAGACCAAAGTTTATACATTATAATCCCCAAAATAGAACCTAATCTAGAACATAAACAAAAGGGGAGGCTTCATCACCTCCTTAGATGAGGTTTAGTTACCCATGAGTGAGCTAGGAGAAGGAAGAAGCTTGCCCTTTTCCTCCATTTTCGAGCTCCCTTCCTTTTGCTCCAAGAACCCTCTTCTTCTTGCTCTCTTCTCTCTCCTCTATCTTGCTAAAGATGATCCTCCTTAATGTGTGGCCCTTGGGTAGCTTTTTATGCTCCAACAACACCCTCTCTCCTCCAAGGAACACCTCCAACCACTTCATAAAGAAGAGAGATGGCATTGAGGAAACCAATGTGCAAGTGGGCTGAAATGAGCCATTTCCGAAGGGCATTCTGCCTGATTTTCGAGCACTCGCTTGGTGATCTCGAGCACTCTAACTTAGTGCAATGTGCAACATGCTCCTCTTGCTCAGCGCTGACCTATTTTGGTAAAACTGCTATAACTTTGTGCCCCGAACTCCGAATGATGATCTGTTTGAAGATTTGGAGAGCTGATTCAGTGCTTTAAAAACTTCATGTTTTGATGAAGACCCAATTCTCAAGTATGGTTGATCGAAAATGGGGAGAAAGGCAGTACATCAGTGCTGCCAGGCAGTTCTGCGCACCTCTGTTATGAAGATCATAACTCTCTGCTCCGAACTCCGAATGATGAACCACTTGAAGATTTGGAAAGCTGATTCAGAGATCTAAATCTTTCATGTTATGATGGAAGTCTAGTTCTTGAGTTTGCTAGGTCGAAAATGGCGACAAAAGTCAGAATCACCGCTGCCAGAAAATTAGAAATGGCATCCTTTTTGTTCAAAATTCCACAAGGCCTCATTTTTGCTTCCTTTTTGCACTTCAACCTGAAAATGCATAAAAACATGCAAATGAAGTTAATCTACATAAAATAATTAATAACTGGACTTTGTTAATGTAATTTAGGGCGCTTGAATATACAATATTCGGCGCTTATCACACCCAAAATGAGTTAGGGTCGTGCACACAATATTCCCTAATGATTGGATAAATGACAACTTTGAATGAGATGGAAATTTTACTTTTTCGCACTGGAGGAAGTTCGATCGATCGAACCTTGGATTTGGATCGATCGTACTGGCTGAGATCTATCGAACTTAGGCTGGATCAATCCAACTAGTTGAGCTTTTTAGGAAAAGACAAATCCGAGATATTTTGGGTGATATTTATGGGAAAAGGACAAAAGTGGTTAGTGGGTGGTACAACTGTGGATAGGATCAATCATTTGAATAAGAACAAAAGTGTTCGATCGATCGAAGGGTGGTGTTGGATCGATCGAACTTTTGGACTTTATGCTTTTAGGCCAAGGCTTGGATCTATCTTGAAGTGCTGAGATCGATCATTGTTTGATCGATCGAACCTTAAAGTTAGATCGATCGAACTTTGCTACTTCCCACCTTTGGCTTCATTTGCTTTCTTCTTTCTCCACTTTGCTCATTTCTTTGTTTAATCCCAGAATTGCTTCAATTAAGCTCTTATTTGGCTGAGTTAGCTTATTTTCAGGATAAGTGTCTGAAAATGGAAATAATACGAAATCAATCTAAAACGGTAAAGTAAGATAGATAAAGGTACTAGAATGCCTAAGCTTAAGGGATTTAAATACGCACTTTTCAGCGCTCATCATTAGGGTATTTCCATGCGAACACATTATATGTTAGGGGTGTAACCAAACGACATTGTTTTATATAGGGGTAAAATTATCTTTCACTATTTTCGTTATAACCAATTGGCCGGAGATGTCACATTGAGGGTTAATTGCAAAAATTTAATAGTTCAAGTGGGCAAATTGTAGTTCAAGGGGGTTAATTACAAATGGCCAATACTTCAAGGGATTTTTTTGCACTTTACCCTAAAATGTATGTTATTCATGTCATATATTAATGTTACATATTAAATACTAATAAAAATTATATTTTTAATATATAATTATATTATATTATATATTAGTGTAAATTATTTTTTATTTAACAGAAAAATATTTTTAAAATATAATATATTATATAATAGTGTAAATTATTTTTTGGAACAAAAAAAATGATTTATTTTCTATCTTATATAATATTATTAAATTATTTTGCAACATATATAATATATTATTATATACCATATCTATATTATATTATAGTTATATTACTTAATATTTTTTATTTATTATAATATAATATATGTTAAATATATTATAGATTTTATAATAAATGTATAGATGATTCATATGCATGCACTTATATACATAACTGGTTAGTGTTTTTGTCCTTATATATCTTATTTTGTACTTATGCATTGGGTATTATTACGGTTTGTAATTTTAAATTAAATATTATATTTTTATTATCTTGTATTGAGTATTTTTAATATTTGTTAAATAATTGAATTGCATACAATATTTAAGGTTTTTTTGTACTAATGAAAAATAAAAATAAAAAAATATTATGTACATCTATAACAAATATGTATTATTAAATATTGTTATTGTTTTTTGCTTTCAAAATTGTGACAACAACAAGTGTTAATAAACCCTATTTTTATTTTTTATTATTACATAAGAAAACAGAATTATGTTTATATTTTTTTAAAATTGTAAAAATAAAAAACCAAAACGTTACCCCAGTACGTATTGTATTCAACCTTCGATTCAACAAAAACAACAAACACAAATATATAACTATAATCACAGAAAATCCACAAGTCATGGGCCAGTATTTGGTAGAGCCCTTTCCTCCACGTTAATAAGTTCCTAATCATGGGCCAGTGTACTGTTTGTTGGGGTCCAAGATAAAGTTCACGGGTGCATTAAGATTTGTATCTATTTTTTGTGCACGTTGATTTGTTCTAGCTAGTCGTGCATGGTTGGTGGAGCTGAAGACAAGTCCACGTGAAGACTTGTCCACAGTGTAACATTGGCATTATATCAAGAATACCTACCTAAAGAGAAAAAGAACAGTGCAAATATAAAGCTTATTAATTACAATTATATGAGAAAAAGCAAACAAAGTTTTAGCTAATCTCCTAATGAGGCTTTCAATTCGAGAAATTGTCAACACATTGGATAGTCCACAGTGGATAACAAAGAAAACAAATTTGCCCTGTAAATTAAACTATTTACACCAAAATTTTAGTGGAGTTAAAATTCCCAACACCCCGATTATCACCACAAAAAAAAAGAAAAAAGAAAAACAACAACCTTATGCGAGTTTATATTTAATTATTTGGACACATAAGAAAATCCATATACAACAGATCACTAGGCAACAAGTTCACAATTAATAGGTGCTTAAGGCACTCGGATTCAAAGAAGCAAAAGCAAGGAGTTCTTCATCACATTCGAAAGCTGCCATGTCCTGTTCTTCCAAAGTAATCCAAGCTTCAACACCACCCTCTTTTGCATCTGCCAAATGAAAAGTGTTCTTGGCCTTGCTTTTAGAAAAACCAACCCATATAGGCTCTCCCCACCCAAAATTCATTTGCCCAAATGGGTACCTGCACAAGCTGCTACACTTGAACACATCCATACTCTCACTCCTGTTCAGCACCTTGCTGACATCTTTGAGGACATCACATATTAAAGAGTAACACTGGTTTGGTGTGATAGTTTTTGCATACTTATCGATAAACTGTGCCATTCCTTTCTTCATTGCATCCACCAGTGCACCCAAGTCTTTCTCGTTCTCGTCTTTAGCCATTATCGAAAAAAACCAAGAGAAGTTTCCGGCTGAATTTTCTGGTAGAGGCGGGGAGAGCCTAGGCCGCAAATTCACCGGCTGGAGTAAAATCGACAGCCTTGACGAACCCGAGGTCGCCCTACGTGCAGCCATGGCTCGTTTGAAGATTAGATTGGACACGACCTCAACCCGAGTGGGCTTTGGCACTCCTGAATTGACCACCGTTGCCTTGAGCTCAGCGATCTTCGAGGCACTGAACACGTACCTCCTGGTGACACAATTTCCTAACTCTAGTTTAGTGTCTGGCAATAACGGTGGGTCATTGGGCGGGGAGATGATTGCTGAAATGAACTCCGGAAACGCCTTTTCACCCGATTGACGGGTGAGGGCCGCCCAGTCACTGATGAAGGAGCTCACGGTGGCCCCATCGGCGATCTTGTGCAGAAAGCACGTGGAGATCGCCATACCTCCACACGCGAAAAAGGTGAGTTGAAGTACCACTAGACTAGCCTTGTATGACTCGTTGTATAGTATACCTTGGGGATAAAAAAGATCTAGCGTCTCAGGCTCAGGCTTTTTGAGGATATCGGAGAGCTTGCATTCGATTTGGGCTTCATAGAAATCGACCCCTTCGTCATTACATTCAATGGAGGCTCCATTTGCAAGCCTTCCGGCAAAAGGGTAGTATCTGGTTAGGGTTTGAGAGAGGGAGGTCTTGAGCTTACAAGACTTTTCATTGATATTGCATGGGCTATCATAGGCTTCATTAGGGTAGAAGAGAAGCATAGGGAGATAGATATGTGGAGAGAGCTGATCCAACAATGAGAGGTTGTGAGTCTTGAGGTGAGTAGGAGTTGGGGAGGAAGGTTTGATGGTTTCTTTCTTGATTATCTCAGGCTGCTGCATGGTCGCCATCTTAGTAACCTGTGATTCTATCTATGTATGTATCTATATCTACATATCTAGATATTTGTATATATATATATATATCATTGTATGGATGTGTATATATAAGGTCACAATAAAGCAAGGTGGGTGTGAATTTTAATTGTTAACTTAAACAGATGAGACAACATAGTTTGAATTTTATTCCTGAAAATGCCATCACAAGAAGCTTGGAAAGGAACGTCAATATTCGTACCGCAGATTATAAAATCCTGTCTGGAAATAATTATTCCTCAAAGGAATTCTTACTCAATATCTCATACTGTATGTATTACCCTCGTGAGCCAACAGTGATGATGACATGATAAAAAATGAATACTTTTAACATATAAATATTTCAAAAATATATCCACCACATATACTCTTAAAATTATTGTTAGAGGTGTTTTAAATTATATATGCATTCTTTAATATTATCACATCAATACAAATAAAATAAAATAAAATAATTCAAAAAAGGGTTCCCTAAATTACGATTTTTACTTAGAGAGTTTGATATGGTGCCAAGAGTTATGACGTAATGAAAATTTTACACCTTCCAAAATAGAAGATTGTAGTGTTCAAGATCTCATAAAGATGAAAAATTCTAAAATATCCAAGGCTATTTTGACAAGTGATGCTCCTTTCGGGGATGGAGTCAGTGTATTTCTGAAGGCACGCGTCCCTTGGTTCTAATTTTTTTTTATTTCAAAGTTCTCTCATTTTTATTTTTATTTTTCTTATACTACTTAGGCATATTATGCTGTAAATTTTTTCTTTTTTATTGTTTGCCTCTTGATTTGAAGAATCTATGTGTCATGTACATTTATTTATTTATTCATTCTTTACACGATTCATGAATTGGATTCATAACTCCTTCCAATCAAAGCTCCCTATTTTCTTTGGTAAACAAAGAGGAGGAGAGTTTCAACATAAATGAGAAGCTTTGATAGGGAGACATACAACTTGTCAAAATATTTCGAAGAATTGTAGAATTTTTTTACAAGGACAGTGTAGGTAAAAGAAGAAAAAAGTTGAAAAAGAAAATAAAAAATAAATTGTCCATATGCTAGATAATATGTGGATTCATATCGTCGACAAGTCAACAGGAGTATAAAATTGATGATTTTGAGGATTTAATCTGCTCTAAATGTCAACAAAAGCATTTAAAATATATTGATGATTTCGAGGTTTTAATCTGCTCTAAATTCATCGAAAAAATGGTGGCATGCTTCGAGCCAGTACTTCTCCATTGTGGATATGGATCTGTCTTGACTCTTGTCATCATTGATTTGTAATTTTGTATCAATGCCGGCGCTGTGGTTAAAAATTAATTGGGAATATTATAAACACTTAGGTTTAGTTTGTAAAATATTTTTTATAAAATATATATATTTTTTTGGTGTTTGATTGTCCTAAATATTTTATAAAAATATATATATATATATTAAAATTTAACAAAAAAATAACTTACATATCAATTTTCGACATGTTATTTTACATGTTCCGTTAATGAACTAGTAATTGACTTCTACCTGGACCTTTACTAAACACTCAAAAAATAAAAAAAATAAAAAATATTTTACCTAAAAAATATATATATATTTTTAGGAAAAAAAATTTACTGCCAAAATAAATTGAGCCTTAATATTTATGGAATATTGAGGAATATAGCATGGGATCCCAGAAAAACATTACCCATTAATTTCTTTCTCATAGTAAGCTCGCTGCCTCATATTGAATGTGTGACATTATCACAAACCAAATAATCATCGCAGCATTATCACACCATTATATGATATTACATCACTAAGTCACATCATGAATAAAGTTTGATGTATGTTCGTGATATTTTTCCTGGAAAAGGATTATTTTAGTGCAAAAAAGTTCTAGATGACAATTTCGCAATCTTTTTTAGTGGGTGTCATTTTTACGTTTCGAGCATACTTTTGCTCTCACATTTTGTACGTGCCTTGTTAATATTTTTGATTTAATTTTACTACTTTTGTGCTCTGCTCCCCCTACTCAATCACTAGGGTTTGAAAATACACATTTTGCTTCTAAAAATAGTAATATAGTATGGAGGTCAATTTGGTTATTTAATCATCACTTACGGTTTCAAATGTGCACTGTCATATCAGAACCTTGGCAAAGAAAATTCGCTAGCGTAGAGGTTCGCCAGTCCCCTTCTGTGTGCTTCATGTGGGTTGAGGGTTTCTTGGCACCTCGTGCACTGCCAGTGGAGGCGCCCAGCCTTAAGGTAAAAACTTGGTCCTGGTGACGACCGATGTGGTTGCCTAAGGTCTTACATAAATAATGTTCAATAAAAAACTTTTTTAAAAAAAAAAAAAAAAAGTAAAACAAAAAAGTAAAAATAAAACACTCGTTATAGATTAAGATTAATACAAAGACTCCATACAAATTTAATTAATTTGACTGTTAATTAATTTACTGGCTTTTTTTTTCTAGTGATAAAATAGATTGAATTCATTGTATATATTTTGTCCAATTTTTTGATTGAATTGAACTACAAGTAATTATTCGATACACTTCTACTTAAATTATCTCTCTTTTCCCGCATCCTATTTTGTTTTTCTATAATTCTTCTAACTTGTTATTATATATTTTATTTCGTAATCGTAACTCATTTTTATTGTTTTATATATTTTATTGCTTAGACTTAATTACTATTATTTATATTAATATACTAAAAAATATATATTTTTATGGCCATAGCCCTCAATATATATCGAAACGTGACTTGGTTTGCTAACTAGGTTTTGAAACAGTGATCAAACTGAGTCATGACTCAGAAGCAATTGAACAACAGTTTAAATAACATAAATAAAATTTTAATTAATTTACTGTTGGAACAGTATCTATATATATATATATATCATTCAATTATTTGACAACAACGTTAGATCTACCAAACCGCATGGCTATTTATTAAACAACACCTACAAAGACTAATATATATATATATATATATATATATATATATATATATATATATATATGGTTTGAGAATTGGAAGTGATGCTCCTTTGGTATGTTTCCTAATGAAATATTGACTTTTTCAAGTAGTCGATATAGTTTTCAATAATAATAAAAATAATTATAATTATTATTATTGAAACAAGATTTGAATTGAAGTTTTTGATCATAAGAGAATATTTTTCATATACAAGGCTGCAATCGTTGTTAATTATCTTATTCTCGATCCCGTTAATAAAAGAATCTCCTCTTTGCCTAAAAAATATATATATATTTTTAAGAAAAAAAATTTACGGCCAAAATAAACTAAGCCTTAATATTTATGGAATATTGAGGAATATAGCATGGGATCCCAGAAAAACATTTACCCATTAATTCTTTCTCATAGTAAGCTCGCTGCCTCATATTGAATGTGTGACATTATCACAAACCTAATAATCATCACAGCATTATCACACCATTATATGATATTACATCACTAAGTCACATCATGAATAAAGTTTGATGAATGTTCATGATATTTTTACTGGAAAAGGACTATGTTAGTGTAAAAAAGCTCAAGTCTTATTGACAGCTTTGCAATCTTTTTTAATGGATGTCGCTCTCACGTTGCGCACTTAATTAATATTTTTGATTTAATTTTAGTACTTTCGTGTTCCCGCTCCCTCCGCTCAATCATTAGGGGTTTGAAAATACACATTTTGCTTCTAAAAGTAATAATATAGTATGGAGGTCAATTTGGTTATTTAATCATCACTTAAGGTTTTAAAAGTGCACTCGGAACCTTGGCAAAGAAAATTCGCTAGCCTAGCGGAACCGGTTGCCAAGAACACTCGACATAAGGGGTTCGCCAATCCCATTCTGTGTGCTTCATGAGGGTTGAGGGCTTCTTGGCACCTCGTGCACTGCCAGTGGAGGCGCCCAGCCTCAAGGTAAAAACTTGGCTCTGGTGACGATTGATGTGGTTGCCTAAGGTCTTACGTAAATAATGCTCAATAAATTTTTTTTTTTTTAAATAAAACAAAAAAAAAAAAGAAAATAAAACACTCGTTATAGATTAAGATTAATACAAAGACTCCATACAAATTTAATTAATTTGACTGTTAATTAATTTACTGGTTTTTTTTTTTCTAGTGATAAAATAGATTGAATTCATTGTATATATTTTGTCCAATTTTTTGATTGAATTGAACTACAAGTAATTGTTCGATACACTTATACTTAAATTATCTCTCTTTTCCCGCATCCTATTTTGTTTTTCTATAATTCTTCTAACTTGTTATTATATATTTTATTTTGTAATCGTAACTCATTTTTATTGTTTTATATATTTTATTGCTTAGACTTAATTAATATTATTTATATTAATATACTAAAAAATATATATATTTATGGCCTTAGCCCTCAATATGTATTGAACCGTGACTAGGTTTGCTAACTAGGTTTTGAAGAGCAAATTGAGTCATGACTCAGAAGCAATTGATCAACAGTTTAAATAAAATAAATAAAATATTAATTAATTTACCGTTGGGATAGTGTGTGTGTATATATATATATATATATATCATTCAATTATTTGACAACAACATTAGATCTACCAAACCGCATGTTTATTTATTAAACACGTACAAAGACTAATATCTATATATATAAATCTATGGTTTGAGAATTGAAAGTGAAACCGCATGTCTATTTATTAAACAACACGTACAAAGACTAATATATATATATATATATATATATATATATATATATATATATATATATGGTTTGAGAATTGAAAGTGATGCTCCTTGGTATGGTCATGTTTCCTAATGAAATATAGACTTTTTCAAGCAGTTGATATATTTTTCATTACATGATGGTTCATATATTATATCCAACAACCCCCACCGTCGGGGTAGATATATGCATTTTCATGTGACCATAGTTCTTGAATGTACAAGGTCAATGAAAAGAATTATATATATATATATATATATATATAAAATTTTCAATTAGCTGATTTTTTAAGTGATGATTCTTTGTGCTTGGCTTATGCTCAGATTGATAGAGTTTGGCTGAGTA